CATCTAGGGGAGGGAGGGATGTCCACTCCAGTGCAAAACTGGAGATGCATGTGGAAGAACAGAGCTGGGCAGGAAGGGGAACTCGGTACCAAGATGTCTTGTCATGAGTTGAAGACGTACATGGACTCCGAGGAGAGAAAGGACTTTCTGCTGGAGTCTGGGTTCCTCTTGATGTCTGCATCTGAATCACAAACAGACAAGGTGGAGCAGATGGGGCAGAGCAGGGGGATACACTCACTTCAAACCGAAGTTTCACTGTAAAACTCATCAAGCTGTTTAAAAGCACGCGAACTACAGCATTGACTTCTACAAGTGGTACTGAGTAGCAAGGAGAGGTACAGTCTAATCAGTCACCTGTTGGAGTTACAGGGAAAGGACACGGTGGGATGCTGTGAAAACTGTGAGCTTGGGGCTTGGGGGAGACAAGTGGCTGCTGATACAGGTCATCCACCAAGTCCTAGCAGTGACAAGGCCTGAAACAGTACACACACAGAAGCTAAGAGGGCAGGACAGCAAGGTTAGCAAGAAGGTTTAGTAGGTCTCTACACGCAGTATAGATGCTGCAGGGGATTAGCAATGGGATGCAGAGCCCTTCTCTCTACCTGACCACAACCTGTAGGATCAGACAGTGGCCATGCCACAGCTTGTCAGTGACTGCACAGTGGGGCTGGCAGCCTAAGGCCAGCACACAGAGACATGTCAGCATCTGTGCATAGAGCGGGCCAGCAGCCACGGGGGCCAGCACTCTGCAGAGGCCACAGACGCATCTCCCAAGCAGGGAGGGGTCCAAGATACAGTACAGGACACTGTGGTCCTGCTCCCTCCAGCCCTCCATCAGCTCCACAACAGCTCGGGGCTGCCCCACATCCCTCCTCGGTGCCAGTCTCGGGTACCAGGCAGTACCCAGTGGTACCTTCATAACTTCATCTTTCTTTCAATCCAGCAGCTTAAATCCTGACAGGGAATTCATCTCAGTGGTGAAAGGACCCTGCGACAGGAGACTCTTCCAGCAGTACAAGGCAGGCAGAAACGCTGCTTCATTGCAGACAGAATCCCAGCAAAGGGAAGGAGGGCATGCAAGGGGAAAGTACTACAGGTCAGGACAGAAGAGAGGCCAGTGCCACAACCTTCAGCCCAGCAGGTCTCCTGTTTTGGACCTCTGGGAAACTCTAGGAATGGGGTCCACAGTGCCCACACAAGCCCCAAACACAGGCTTGCAGCTCCCCCTGACCCAGTGGCCCAGTGCCTGGCTAGAGGAGGCACAGCTCGGGGCCCCTGCTCCTCCACCCCAAGTAGGTCTGCTACACAGACCTGCACAGAGCCCATCTGATGCCAGTCAGCCACCAACTGCACACCAAGGCCAAAGGAATCACAGCCTGGCTGAGCAGAGTGCCACCCCTGAGCCCCTCCTAGGAAGAGTGGAGCCACCCTGGCAGCAAGGGGAGCAAGTCCCAGTCCTGCCCATAAATTTACAGACTCACGCTAGTGGAGTTCAGGATGGATGCTTGACCCTCCGTTTGACATCCATTGCTAGAAACAGGCACAGGAAAGCATCCTAATGCTAAGGAACCTGCGTATCTACAACATGCGAACAGAATTCTAGCTGCAGAAAACAGGGAATTCACGTACACATGGCCTCCCAACCATACAGGGTGCTGGCCAGACATACCTGCCATACTCTGGTGCCTTCAGCTCTGCACAGGAAGGTGCCGCATGGTCCTACACTACGATGAACATGAGCAAACAGCGGGGCACAAGCAGCACAGTGTGTTATGGGGAGGCAGAGCCGGCACACTCAGGCATTGGCATCGTCTCAGGGATGGCAAAGGGAGACAAATCTGACCTTAGGCTCCCATGGGGGCTAGCCCTGGGATCCTGACACCGCTTGCTTCCCAACTTTAACTGCAGACACTCCCCAAAAGCCTCATTAGCTGCCCAAAACACCTCTGCTGCCAGTTGTATCACCAGGTGACAGTCCCTAGGAGGCTCATGAACAGTCCCCAAACCCAAGGACGTCACCCCAGCCCCTATATGCCAGCTTTAGGCCAGGATAAGGCCTCCTGGAATAAACCCCTGGGCTGTAAACACAGGACATAGCAGGGCTGATGGGGAAGCTCTGAGCACCAGCATCTCAGGCAGGAGCAACATACTGGCACCAAACACCTGACAGGAGAGATCAGCAGCACCCCATGTAGGCTGTTCCCTTGCTAAAGCAAACAGGGAGCACATGAAGGTTATTTAAATGCAGCCAGCAGATTGGAAGGATTATCTACTAATACTGTAAACAATAAAAACACTAAGCAAGACCTGGCTGCATGTGATCCCGGTGCCCAGGGCCTCCAGTATGAACAAACTGCCTGTGCCCTGTCTGCTCTCACTACTTCTCCCTCCAGGACTTCCTTCTGGAAGGATTCTTCTCCAATTCAAGTCTGAACAGGATGGGAAGGGTTGGCCATGGTTCAGATCAGAGCTATGGCACACCAGCTCTGCCAAGTCAAGCAGGACAACACTCCCCAAGGCACCTGGGATGGAGACCTGGTCCCATACTGTAGAGGACTCTGCTCTCATCCAGCTCAGGCTCAGCCTTCAGCAGCTACAGAGACACAAAGCTGTGCCATCACCCTGCCAAGCCCTATCCCAGGCAAGACAGGTCTTCACCACAGCTGGCACGTTTGGCGTATCCGAAACACCGCAAGGCAAAATGTCCCAGGGGATGGAGCCCACAGCAGAGCTCCTCTGCCTCTGCTCCATCCTGCCATATCATGCTGCCATGGCTTTTCTTGCTAGCGGCTGGACCATACGTTTCACAGTTCCCAAATCAGGCAGATTTCTGAGAAGTGTGCACGTGCACACACACACACACACCTTGCACACACACGCACGCGTGCTGCAGGGGAGCACTGCAGGGTACTACCTGAGAACAAGGAAGCCATTGACACTGAGAGGCCGTTCTTGGACATTTGAATCAGGTTAGATCCATCGTTACCATCTGTATAACACGGTGATGACAAAACAGTTGACTTCAGTGCTTCAGCCAGAAAGGGCATAATACAAGAGCAGCACTCGCACGAGAGAAGCCTAGAACTGAATTCACACACCCCTCTATGGGCTTCAAAACTGAGCCCAAAATCTAGCCACTGGGGACTAAACGGAGGGCTTTGCTGTCAGCAGTCAAGAGACAAGAAGTTTATAGTTGGAGACTAGATTGCTCCATCTTCTTTTTAAAGTCAGCAAGACTGAGGTACTGCTGGATGAACAAGGCTCTGAAGGAAAGGGACACCCAGGGACCCAGACAGGTCTCCTGTGGGTGATAAGCTCAGCCACCCAAGCTGCCAGGAGCAGAGACTACAGGTATTACATACAGGTCAGGATGTGACCAGCACCCACCACTGCCACCCACGAGATAAGTGGTCAGAGCTACATCTCTGGGGTGGGGGAGAGCAAGATGGCAGCTCTCCCGCCTCTCTCTAGCTATGTGGACCAGCCAGTGAAATGGAAACCACCTATCAGCCAGAGGCACTGAATGCTAGAGGGTTTCAGAGGATTTCAAAGCAAAGTCATGCCACCACATAAGGGGAAACTGATTTCTCTGCTCATGCTCAGAATTCAGCCATTTGTTTGGGAAAAGCCATCCTGAAGGACAGAGGGACGCAGTCTTCTTCAGTGGGACGGTCCTCAACACAGCCACACCAAGAAGTCTGTCTATGGAAGAAACCAACCCAGCTATTCCCTCCTACCTCGGATCTCGTACTCTTCCACATCCTCTGCGGAGCCTGAGTCAGAGAGCCTCATGGAGCCGTGGGAGCTAAACTGGGAGCCACTGTCTGTCGCCACAAGACCTGAGAAAAATGCAACACAGCCAAGCCATCAGTGGAAGTGGTCTGAAAGGCCACTGACAGCTAAGGAAGAAGCTGATAGTCAGGTATGGCCAGGGTGAGGAGGGATGGAGGTCAAGGATGGAAAACACTATGGGTTCAAAATGAAATTACATTCCATAACTCAGTGCCAGCAGCACACAAGTGTTATCAGTGTACAGTATCAGCCCCATTATAGTTTTCAATAGCAGCAGATTTTCACAAATTGCTGCAGCACCTTAGTAGCAATATGATTGTTTCCAAAGAACAGGCAGGAAGGCCCAGTGCTATGACAGGCAACAGACAGAAACCCCGCATCGCACTAGCTGATGAGCCCAAAGCACATCACCCACTGTCTGAGCCCATCTCCTGGCAGGTAGGGAACAGGTGCCTTGCGCGGATCTGCTGGCGCCGAATGCGAATCTTTTGTTTAAGCTCCTGGATCTCCTTGTCGCTGTCTTCTTCCTCCTCCTCCTCCAGCTGCCGGCTCATCATGTTGCATTTCATCAGCTCAATGGCAGCTATCAGGGACTCTGAAATGCTGAAGTGGGCATTCTCCTGCAAGGCAAGAGCAAAAGCATTCAAGGCTGTACCATGGAGAATCTAGAAAGATTTGGTAAAATTTTGTTCCCCACCTGTGACAGGAACGAGATTATTCATGGAAGGTGGTAGAAAGTCCTTAATAGCTATTGATCCCATAGAACCTGACTCTTCTCTGAGGACCTAGAAACTTCTGGGACACCAGAATACTCCAAAACACAAGGGGCATCCTATGAAGAGGATGTGCAACACATTCACTCTGGGGAGTCAGCACATGTCCCTTAGCAGCCCTAACATGTTGCAAAGCTGCTGTGTATATGCTGAATTGGCAGATCCCGGCTGCCAGACACCACTGAGGAAGTCAAGTTGCACATAGCTCTGCAGCAGGAAATACTATGGGAACATCTTTCCCACAGAGGGAAGTATCACTGAACCTGCAGTAAGATACATTCTCCAACGCACACAGGCTGCTGCTGCCTCCCTCACCTTCTCCAGGTCTGCACAGCTGCCAAAGTCCTGCTCAGAGAGGTAGCTGATAAGGGACTGCCCTTCCGAGGGTCTTCTGAACATCCCTTCCCCTGAGCTCAGGTACTGTCCAGAGTCTAGAAAAGCAAGAGGCAAAGGTATGACAGAGGGACCTGCTGCTACACCCATGCTAACAAGCCCAGCCAGTGCCCAACCAGCATCTCACAATCAGGTGCTGGAGGCTGAGGCCGCTGCAGCGGATGGAAGAGTCTGACCAGGAGCGAGTGTCCCCACTGAAGGTGGCTGTACTCACCGTACTCCATGTAGAGGGAGTTTGGAGTGCTCAGTTCACTGCTCTGGGTGGAAGCAGAGACCGGCCCTGTCCCTCCGCTGGAATCACCATGGGACTCTGGAAGGGAAGATGACACCAGACACACATCAGTATCCAAGAGGCACCCAACCACTGCACAGGGTGAAATGAAAGGGGCTCAGCATCACACAGGCAGGCATAAATGGATGGAAAGCAAGGAGGGACGTCTTCCTCCTCCATGCCATAGCTGAGGGCAAGCCCAGGAGGGGACAAAACTTGAAGGTCACTTCAGGTAGGAGAGGAGAAGGGGAAAGGAGAAAAGCTCCTGAGAGTCATGGAGCAGTCAAGTCCCAAGTCTTCCTCTCTTTACCTCCTAACAGAGCTGGGGGACACAACAGACTCCAACAAGCACACCTGCCAGCCCCTCTTTCCTGCTGGAACATCTCTGAGGGAAGTCATCCCCCAGGTCAGAGTCAGGAAACAAGAGGAAACCCGAGCAATCAAGGGATCTGTGGGCCTCCCAGCCCTGCAAAGCAGGCTGGACAACAGCGGAAGGAGGCATCTGAAGGACATGCTCTTGCTCAGCTAGAAGGCAGCATTCCCCACACACAACCCCGAAGCCTGGGCTGAAACGCTCAAGGTGACCTACACATGTTGTGGGCAGGGCTCTGTCCCATGCATGCACTGTGGTGCAATCCCAGCCAGGCTGAGCCAGTGGGGACTGCCCAGAACTGGCCTGACTGGAGACCAACAACGGATGGTGCTCTACGGAGAGCCACGGCCCCAGGGAGCACGTGGACTGAGCAGCTGGGTGACAGAGGACTGCTGAAGGAGACTGAAAACACCCCGACTGGAGTAAGACAGGTGTGGACACAGGGCAGGTGCCAGCTGACATCCCAACATCCTGAGCACAACAGAGGGCCACCCCATCCTCTCAATCTCCTACTCCTCTTTGCTCCCTGCTTTGTGCCGTAACCCTGATATGACTGGAGGTTCCTGAGCCCACCAACACCAGCATCTCCCTGCCAGGACCGTGAAGCAGCAGCCACTAAGATGGGGCTTGCGACCAACCCACCCCACAGGCTGTGTGACAAGGGACACCCATCGGGGTGGGACGCTCTCACAGCTAACTGCTGCAGCCTGGCAGCAACCTGCTGGAAACCAGCATAGAAACCACTTCACAATCACCAGCTTGAGGTACAGAAGAGCCTACTGCTGAAGGGTAAAGTGAGGCAGTGCTTGGCATCCTCCGCTGGAGCTGGACACGTCTGCCTGAACACCCACTACCTCCATGGCGGAGCCTTCTCAGCACCCAGATGGGAGCTTGACAAACCCAATGCTGCTGTTCAATGGATGCAAAAGAAAACAGTCCATTTTTCTGAGCTGCTGATACTTTCTGCACGTGGGGCAAAGGGATGGCAGCACCCCAGCAGATCTGCTCAGGAGGAAATGTGCCCTGAGCCAAGAAGAGCACCTAGGAGTCCTGGCTGTGGGTGCAAGCACAGCTGGCTGAGACGTGGCTGAACTCAACCAACATCAAACCTCCCCATACCACAGATCCACTAATCTTGCATAAGCAAGCTCACGCCTGCTTAGCTACCAGCCCTTATTTGCTAGGTGAGAGATGAAACCTCTCCTGGCTCCTGAGGCAGCAGGGTGGAGGGAAGGGCAGGGGATGCAGCTCAGGGACTCAGTGGCCAGTGTTCTCCGACGCCATGCAGGGGAGCTGGGCACCTTCTGGGTCTGGTTCACTGCTTCCAAAAATTAAGCTGGGATCCTCAGTCAGGTTGCATGCATAAACGTGACCACGCTCCCAAGCGCCAGCTGGGACACAGGGAAGAAAGAATTTTTTTGTTTTCTAAATGGACACTAATGGGTTGATGGAAATCCTGAACTTGATGCAATGATCACTAATGAAGGGCTGTTATACTGGCTCCCAAACCTGCCACTGGATCTTCTATTATAATGGTGATATCCCTGAGGCCTCCTGGGCAGACAGAGGAGAAGGGCAGCATTAAGGGAGAGAAAAAGAGAGACAGACCAATTACTACTCATCAAGGACCTCCACTTCTCCCAAGAAGGCAGCACCGGTGGTGCAGACTCCCACAAACTGGTTGTCCCCTCACAGCCCACTCCCCCCACCATGCATTCACCCACTCAAGAGCACAGGAGGACCCAGCAGGTTACCAGTACGATGACATCCTACCAGTAGGATGAGCACAAGCCCCAGTCCAGTGCCCTGCCATGGCTCCATGCCCCAGCCAGGCAAGGCCAGTGGGGAAGCAGGACAGCTAATGCCACAGCATTGCTGCCATTTTCTAAGTTTTTGGTAAAAGCTGCCAATACCAATAACAGACCGTCCCAGAGCATTCTGGGAGGCAAAGTGTCAGCCCATCCCTCCAGTGCAGAGCAGGAAAACTAAGGGCAAAGGCCAGATTTCCCAACGGCTCGCCCACTGTTCCCCTTGCCAATCCAATCCATGGAATCAAAGAGGTGGCCAGCATCAGCCTCCCAGTGCCAGGGACTCCCACATTCCAAAGCCATCACAGAAAAGGTGCCCCATTACCATGCAATTTCCCCGAAGCCACATTGGTGTCGGAGTGAGAGCGCATATGGCTCTTTTTGAGGATGCCCTGCGGAGCTGATGACTGTCCCTCTGAGAAGCTGGACCGGCGCAACAGGCTCAGGCCCCTGCTTCCACCTCCACTTGCCCCCTGCTCCCCCAGTGATGAGACTGAGTCCAGCTTCTGGGAGCTGCTGGAGGAGAAGAGTTTGGAGCTACTGCTCTTGGTGCTGTTGGTGCTGGCACTGCTGCATGCCCGGCCCCGGCGCCCCAAGTTCCCGATGGCCAGGTACTCCGGCCCGTCATTAACATCACTCTGCGGATCTTCCTGACTCCCCATCCAAGTGTCCTCGCTCTGGCTGGTGGTGCTGGAGCTCATCTCGCTGCCTGGAGAGAAGGGGTCTTTGGGTGAGGTCATGTGGAAGCAGGTTACAGAGCCGGGTTGCTCCAGAGGGGACCTGCCCTCGCTGAAGGAGGAAGACCGGGTGGATAGGCAGTGCTCCTGGGGCTGGCTGGTGCTGGAGCTAACAGAGGAGCTCGCTGGTCTCCTGTCTGGACAGAGGCAGAAGCAGGATGTCACACACTCTGGCACAAACAGACCACCCTACGGCAGTAAGTTTGTGGGTTCACACCAGCATGCCCACCAGCACGAGCAAAGGCCAAGGATCTCCATCTCCCTCCCACCATGGGCAGATATCCTTCTTGTACCCATCCATACAAAGAATCCAGAGCAGAAAAAAAGGCAAAGTCTTTTCTGGGTCTATCCTGAGCTTCCTAGCCCACCTTTGTTACCTGAGAGGCCAGAGGAGGCTGGATGGTGGAGGCCAGAGAAGGACCCAAAGCACCGCTGCTGTGTGCAGCCTGCAGCCGGGACGTACGGGGTCGCAGGGAGGGCAGTCAGGCTCTGACTCTTGGTCACTGGAGGTGGACCATCACTCTTCCTCATAAGCTGAGGAGAAGTGGTATAATTAATAAATCAGCATTTACGGGGCTACACATCAAAGGAGCAGCAACGGAAAGGAATCGATCTGAGAGGGCTTGGTCACCAGCCAGCAAAGGATGCAGCAGCCCTGGGGGCAGGAGGATGGGGAGGGAAAAACGTAGCAGTACAGAAGGGAAACAGCTCTTTGTTCACAGTTACACAGCAGGCTCCCGTCGGGAAATTACCAGGCTCTCAGTGAAATGATCCAGGCAGCCCAGCGCCCCAGGCAGACGGCTCTCGTGTCCTTCACTGTCGTGGTCACACATCTCTCTTGTGCCAGCAGAAGGGCCTGACACGCACAGGGATGGCAGTGACGTACCAGCCAGCTGAAAGAACACAGCCCTCATTTAATGAAGCCTCATTAATTGCTCTTCTCTGGGGAGCTCTGTGCAAAGAAAGCGCCCACTGTTCCCCACCTCTGGGGAGGGAGCAGCTGGCACAGGGCTGCACAAGGGGGTCACTGGCGTCACCAGCAGGAGTGGGGACCCAGGTGTCCTGGGGTGCTGCTCATTCCCTCTGAGGGTGGCTGTCCCTCATGACCAGGCAGCTCTGCTTGCTGGCCCTGAAGCTTGGGACTGTTGGAGAGAGCTTTAGAGGTGCCTCTTACAACAAACTGGTCCTCAGGTCTCCACACTCAAATCCTCGATGCCAGCCAAAAGCAAGGTACCTCACTACAGGCTCCACAGAGACATGTCCCCCACCACAAGCCCTGCCAGGCTCGCACAGGCAGCACAGGGACCAGTTCATGGCTATCCCCCCCTTAGAGCTCCTTTTGCTACTTCCAAGTCCAACCCCTTGTCCAAGAGCTCTGTGTGCCCTGAACGAGAACTTGCACAAGCAGTCACAGCCAGCCAGTGTCTGGGGAGAGCCAGATGGAAATGCCAGGATCTCAACTCACCATGGAGGTGTCGATCTGAGCCAGAAGCCTGGGGTTGTTCTGCTCAACAGCCTCCAGGCACTGCAGCATGGCCGTGACATGGGCATCACTGAGCAGGAAGGCAGTGTCTGGGGAGAGAAAACTGCTGCTTGGGGTGGGTCCCTCTCATCTGTGTGGTTTGACAGCACTGGCTGCTCTCACCTCTTCTGCTGTCCCACTCACTCCCACACAGCTTGGAAATGCCACCAGCTAGATATTTTCCTAATAAGGAAAAGGTCCCTTTCTCTTTACCTGCGTAGAATTTCCTGATGTACTGCCGGTTCCCCAGGAGTGGTCTCAGCTGCGCTGACAGGCAGTGGCACTGCAGGCTGTGCTGCAGCCACAGCTGCGCGATGGCCTGGTCCCCTAGGCCCTCCGGGTCAGGCTGGCCGCTCTCCTGGAGGCTGATGAACTGGAAAGGATGCCAGGGACATGTCAAGGCACATACAGGCAAGTAGGGGAGCAGGGGCTGTTACACCACACAGCTTTGGTCCCTCTGATAACGGCAACTTTCCAGTGCAGGAACAAGGACACATCCCAGCAGCTCCCCAGTCACCAAGGAAGCTAAAGTGCCAGGGAGGAACAACACTTCAAAGGTCAGACAGCGACCAAAGTCCGCCGACAGCCACCAGCACTATGAATTTCTCTTGCATGCTCTCCTATTCATCTGCCACACCCCTGACCTGGAAGGACCCCCCAGTCCCAAATCCAAACCAACCCTGGGGGTGACGGTCATGTTCTTGCCGACACATTAACTGGGGAAGGTTACAGCAACGCCTGAGCAGCTGCAGTCTGAAGAGCTAGACTGGAGTCACACCCCACGTCCCCCCAGCAGCAGGCTGGGCACAGGGACCACCAGTGCTCAGCCCCTTGCACCCATGGGGACCACAGATGTCAGCACGGGGCAGCCGAGGACCAGGAGCACCCCTGTGTGCCAGCGGTCAGCACAAGCCAGCAACAGGAGAATCAAATGCATCGTCAAGGCACAACCCAGAAAAGGGACAGCCCAGGCTTTCAGAGATTTGCACAGATGCATGAATCACCCCTGCAGACACACAAGCACTGCTTGTGCCGGTTCCCTTGGTGATGCCCACTGCACCCAGCCGAGCTGAGCTGGATACTGGCCTGGGAGAAATAAACAGCCAATTGTCTCAGCCCAAGCCACGACGAGTTCCCAGGATGTCGCTTGTGTATAAACACGCGTCTGCTTCAGCCTCCACAAGCCATGGAGCTGCTTTACCCACAGCAGGCCAACAGCCAAGGCACTGCTATCCCACCGGTGAGGATCACAGCCCAGCTGTCCTCTCCCCTCCCTGCTGGGCACACAAGGCCACCCCAAGAACCCACCTTCTCCAGGTGATGAGCAGAGCCAGGACTCAGCCAGCGAATGTCCTTCACAAACTGCCAGTAATCCTTCTGCCTGCAGCACACCTGCCCGGGACAGGGGCAGTTAAGATACCACCACTCACGTCCCAGTTAAATGACAACATCCCACATTAGCCCCATGCTACCATGACTGAAGAGCCCCTAACCCTGGCAAAGTGGGCCAGAAAATAAGACAGATGAAGAGCAGCACTGCTCTACAAAAGAGAAACAATGCAAGTGTATAACACAGTTTTGTAGATCAAGGGATCAAGTCAAAAAACACTAGCTTGATATAGATGTTTCCTGCCCCTCCCATGGTGACCTCTCAGTTGTGGTCAGCCCACAAATGACCAGACAACAGACCCCTCAAGCTTTCCACCAGGTAAGACTGCAGTCCCTCACACCATGGAGACGGGAGAGGTCTTGGGCCAGGGACAAGATATGGCACTGAAGGGCTCACATCCCTGCTGAAGTACGATAAGGATCTTAAAGGCCAACCACAGGTCTGACAAGTTCAAGGCTGACCAAGTTCCCACATTACCATTCCCCTTCCTGCCGGAGCAGGACCTGGAGGAAAGTCCTGATGCCTCAGCATTGCAGAGTCAGACCTCAGTGAGGGGACATGAAGGGCAATGTGGAAACACATCCCAGCAAAAACAGCAACCATTGCTGCCTTGCGATGCAAGCCACCACCAAGGACACCAGCACGGCCGAGCACCCCAGGTGAGAAATCTGGCATTGCATTTCTACCAGCTGCTGTGTTTGCCTCAGCTTTATTCAGACAACGAGTTGTTCTGTTCTTAGTTATTCTTCCCATTAAAGAGGAACTGCAGTAGCATTGCTGTTTCCCTCACCACTCTATCGGGTGTAAACATAGCCCCAAAATGTGTCTCTTCACCAAAAAGCTGATTTTTTTTTCTCCTCCATCTCTATTTCCTCTTTCACAAGTGTCAGAGGAATGGGTTCTGTTTTGTGGTTTATTTGTTGGGGGGGTGTGGGTTGGTTTGGTTTTTTAAGACTAGAGAACTAACATGGCAATTTTAGTCCTCTAGAATGAATTGGTGTTTTCTAGACAAATAAATAAAATTCACTTAAAAGTTTAAAAACCTCTTACCCTGGTTCTCTTAACATGTACATAGGGGTTTTTTCACCTTTTTAAAATTTACTCCCACTTGTAGGAAAAAAGTTGGTAAGAAAATAATAAGTAAAAGGAATTGTTGCACTGGAGCAACTATGAAAAAACTGCTGTTAGGAAGCTGTATTTTTACAGGCCTCCCTTTGCAGCTCTTATAGCTTGACTGGTGTCACACGTGCCCAAGCAGGGGAGACATTTCTAAGAAAAACAGTTGCCTTCACCTACAGTAAAAGCATTGAGGAAGGCAACACACCGTCCTGCTTTGCAGGTCTGGCATGAACTGTTACCCACAGACAGACAAGTATAAATCATTTAAATCTCACTTCCAGAAGCCTATTAATAGCACATCTATCAGAAGGGAGCACTGCACTCCTCACATGTAAAAGGTAGCTCCTCTCTCTGCACATCTCCCAAATAAGTTCCCATGCCACTGGGGACTAACGGGAACAGAGCAGCACTGTAATGAGTGTTGACTGCAAACAATAAATCCAGGGAGAAAAACACCCTGCTGGGACAATCTGCCAGCCTGGCTCTTCCTGGAGGTTTATTAGCTCAAGTGCAGCATCGCATAGGTGTGGTTTTCCTGCTCCTGGACCCAGCTGGCCCATGCAAGCTGCCTGGGGCTCCTCTGCATCACTCTCTTCTCCTGGGTGGCAGAGCTGCTGACGGGAAGCCTGCCCCAGGCATGCCCTGAAGACTTGCTTCAACTTTTTATTGTAAATTAATTGTGCTGGTAATTGCAAGCAGAAGGGGAGACCTTCAGGCCTCTGCACACAAGTGGGAAAGAGAAATTCTTCCAGGCAGCCATTGAAGGGGGAATGGCTGGGTGAGCAACTGCAAGGCACGACGAGAGCCTGGAAAGAGAGATCCCATTCACACAGAGCATGGACTTGGCTGCCAGCTCCTGTTATTAACACAGCTAACCAGAAACAGTAAAGATGCGAGGTTTCTCTTGCCAGACCTCACTGGGGAGTTGTCCAAGTGCAGACGATACAGGGCTGACTCATTGCAAACGCAACTTTATCGCTTGGCTGCAGCAGGAAAAAAGGAGAGAGCAGCTGGCCTCAGCGTGGGGGGCACAGGTACTTCGAAAAAACATATCAAAGGTGGATGAGATAAAATGAACACACATCCAGGTTCCCCTGACAACCACAGCATTTGCCCGGCAAGTCCCTGCTTCGATCATTTCCCACACCGCTACAAGCGTGGTACCCACTTGGTGCCACGAGCACTGAAGTGAGCTGCAGCAGACTGGACTGTCCCACCTGCTCATGACAGGCACCGAAGCTGCTACAGACAGGCAGCAGTGCTGGCAGGACAGGACCCTACCTTGTCGTGGATGAGCCCGTGGTAGAGAATGCTGTGCATGTCTCTGCAGAGCCGTTCCAAGCCGCCATACTTGGACCAGACATTCGGGTTGCTGGTGGACACCAACCCTTCCACTGTGGTCTTCAGGTTGCCTAGCAGCTTCCAGTGCTCCTTCCTGCAGAGGAAGACAAGAAGTTCCATCCGATACACAGCAAAAGGAGCTTCACAACACGAACATGGCATTGCACTCTCTCCAAGGAGAATCTGGTCAGGCTTTGGTGGTCCAGAAACTAGCAAGGGTGAGCTAAAGGACTTTACACCTCCCTGTGGTCTCCCATGGGTGGCTTGTGGAAAAGAGGCCATATCGTAATGATTCTTGTGATGACTGGTAGCCACCACTGATGTGGTCTCAGGAGACAGCCACAACAAAGACTGACAGCTCCTGCAACATACCACTTGTTCAGTATGGGCCAACAAAGCTGGGGGACATCCTGCCAGCCAGCCCCTTGCTTGCTTCACTCGCATGCTCTACCAGAGACTGCTCAGAGCAGCAGCCTGTCAGGAGTACAGCAGCTGTAAGGCAACGGCATGACGTCCACCACATCTAGCAGACACTGGCCACACTGCACCTGCATTTACAGAGAGCAGCACTCCCCAAGCAATGCACACTGCCTTGAGCACTCCAGTGCCATCAGGATGCAGAGGTGCTCCACTCCAAGGCTGGTAACTCTTCATCTGCATCTCCATCCTTACAGCTGCTCTCTGGCCCTGAGCTGCTGTAGGTGCAAGTTAACTTTCTTGCAAAAGCATTCATCGTGTTATGGACAGAGATTAGCAAACTGCAGATGTATTCTAGAGCTCATACAGCATTTCTCATCAGTATCATTCCCCTCGGCTACCCTGCATATGGCAAGAAATCACCATTATCTGCCATAAAGCAGGAGTAATGGTGCAGAGAGGTAACATCATTTGCCTATGCAAAAGCAACTTTGGGGAAGGAAGCTTTGGATGACTGAGGTCCCCACTCAAGCCACTTGACAGTGTTGCCAGAGGAACAGCAACTGTCAGAAACATGTATTCACATAGGAGCCACTCTCTCAGAGGCAGTATGTATGTTGAAAGGTATATGACATAAAAAAATATGCCTCTGCAGGGTCTGTAACAAAAGCACCGAAGGTGACAGCTTAGAATGAAAGTCCAACCTTTCAATTGTCAAGAAACAAGCCACAGTGTTTAAGATGTTAATTTTTCCCACTGTCAAAACTAAACAGGATTTCCAAAGCAAAAGGGAAAAAAAAGGAAAATAAATTTAAAATAAGTAACATTATTTAACACTGCTCCCATTTTCATCCTTTGTGGATGAAAGTATGGGCCACACACTTCTGCAGCACAGAGAAGGACACTAAAACCCAACAAAATCCTGGCATTTAAAACCAAGCTTTTCTCACCAAAATTCTCTTTTTTTGCTGTTGCCAAACTGATTAAATGAACAAGCAGATCATCAAACATTGGCTCTTCCTCAAGATCCCATCCACTCCCTTTGCAAGGTCTCCCCGGAGAAACCTCCTCACTTTCAGTGCCCACTTAAGCTTAAACCATGCAGAAGCCAATCCATCCCACCAGCGAAGCCTGTCACCCTGACAGCACAGGAGCTCTAAAACAGAGCTACAATGCATATGGAAGTATGCATACGTTTATGAGGTACTTAGACTAAAAAGCACTGTCAGGACTTTATCTCAGGAGATACTGAAGAAGAAAGCACAGATATGAATGAATCAAAGGCAGCTTCCTGAAGGAGGTCTAACTTGGGGAGACAGAGAAAACTGATCCAGCTCTTCTGAATTTATGGGCTTTTCCCATCCCTATCCTGAAGGATGCAGATGCTCTTTGACCGGGGGGACTGGCAATGCCACTCCCTGGTCAAAGGGCATCTGCAGCCACTGAGCTCAAAACTTCACCAGCTCCTCCCCAAAATATTTCTAACATTCAGAGTTAGGAAATACAAGTGAAAGCTCAGCCACGACATTGATCTTACAAGTCAGTGAATCAGGGGAACTCCCTTCTGTGTTATTTCATGCTATAAAAAGCAGGCAATGCACATAAGGACAAGGATGCGGGGGTAGGACACGCAGAGCTGTGCCTTTCCAAACGAACAGTCTCAATAAAGAAGTTGTGCATCTCCCCAGAGGTAAGAAACCAGGATCCCACAGACTGGAGTCACAGCTCCATCCTAGCACAGGAAAACTAAGGTTAAGCAATCCTCAAACAAAATAACCTCAAAATGTTAAAACACTGAACTCAGAAGCACATAGGAAATAAGTAGCACAATGAAAGCAACCTTGGAGAGGTGATGCAGAAGGTACCCAAAGTGAATTAAATCCCTGTAAGACAGTAAGGACCCCACGGGACTTGTTGGCCCAAAGCAGTTCACAAGTTGGATGCACAAGACCCTAATGATAGCCAAAACTGAGCTGTTTCTGGGCTGGAACATGGTGCATGCTGAAAAGCACAGTCACAACGTTGAAGAAATGAAACCCATATAGTTGGCTGCAGGTGGCAGGGAAATCAAGCGAGCGTAGCTAACCTCATTTCAGCTTTGACCAGACTTGTGGGTTAACCCTGAATTAGCAGCAGGGTTTGCTCCCCTCTCATTGACAAAGCCTGAGCTTGGGCTACCAGGAGGGATGGAGAAAGCTCAGCTGCCCTCAAGTTCCCCATTTCAGCAGGTGTTCAGAGCAATATTAAGAAATCTGTTTTGTTTTCCCTGAATAAAGAGAATTCCCCTTTGCTAGTGCTAAAGAAAGTCTGACATGGGGTAAAACCAATTCATATTACATTATTAAAACACCCCGACTTGCAGGAAAGGCAAAGTGAGCCACACACCCCAGACTGGTCACAGTACAGAAGCAGAGCTTCCCCTGCAAGAACCACATGTGTACCTGCTCTCCTGCTCTAGCAGAGCCTGGTTCCCCCAGCCAGAAGGGCTGAGGGTGTTTGCAGGGGCCATCACTGGTGGAGCACCAGTGAGACCTCAGCCATATCTCTCTCCTTCCTTAAAGACAACCTCTGATTCAACCTCCAATTTTAACTACCAGTTCCATAAACCCAGTGCTGGGTCTCCTTGTTTCACCATCACAAACTCCACAAACTGTATCTTCAAGCACAGCAACATCAAACCACCACCAGGAACTGTCCAAAATGTAACTGAATCTTTGCACTGGAGTGATAAAAGGCAGAATCTGGCCTTGGAGCAAGAAATGGCTTAATACTGCTTCTGATGACGACAGGGAAATGCTGCTTGCTCACCCAGGGCTCTCTCAGCCCCTCCATGCCAGCAAGGGTAGGAACTTCTCTTGGTCCAAGTCAGCAAAAATGACTCACAGCAGAGGCAGGGAGCCGTGGTGCTGACTCAGGTGAACTCATTAATTTAAAATAAAGCCAAACCCTAGTTACTTTCCAAAACAGAAATACAGAGGTAGCTAGCATTCAAAAAAAAAAAAAAAAACAAACAAACCCAAACTGCTTATTTTTCTTGCAAACAACATCTGCTGTGTGTCTCCCTGTGCTCTGCAAGAGGCACCTAGCAATGGTTGCTCAAACCCTGTCCTCTACCTGGGGGAGTCTCTTGATCCTTCTTAGCACACTAAAGAGGTCAGGCTGAGGATGCTGTGGTCATGGAGGGACTACTGTCAGATCTCCAAGGTCATACTGGCTGTCAGTTCCTCCTGCAGCTCCTGAAGGTGTCGCGTAACTTGCTGCTGCGCACAGCCTGCTCCTGCCTCGCCATCCCTGAGTCTCCCAGACAACCACCAGCCCCTTCCCTGGGCTCCCCCGCCTGCTCCTCCCGCAGGCTCGGCACTGCTGGGAAAAGGGATTAAAACAAAAGCAGGCTTCGTGCAGTTCATCTGCAGCCATGGGGAGTGGCTGACAAGGCAGAGGAAACCAGAAGAGCTCTGCCACCCCAGCAGGCCAGCCCTGCAGTGCCTGGGCAGGGCTGACTTGCACCGGTACTAGAATCTTACACTGGTGTAAAACCGGGGGCACAGCCACAAAATGCTCCCCCAGCAAACACAGCCCAGAGCTGCTGCTTGCTGGAACACTCCTGCTCTGCACTGGCAAAGGATGAGGGAAGGAAATAGGGATTAAAGGTGGGTTTTTTAGCCTTCTCCCAGCATGGCAGAGTTTTACTTGCTCATCCTGGTGAAGCCTCCTGCAAGCAGATGAATGCAACCTGTGGACCCAGGATACTGTCCATCAGGCTTCAATCTGCACAGGACCTGCCTGCGACAAGCACGCAAGCAGCCAGCGACAGGCAAGAGCAGACCCCACAGCAGCCCACCTCCTGGGACCAGCCACTCACCTTCCATCACTCCCAGCACAGGTTCCCCTTAGGGAGCCTCTCCTCTGGCCCTGCTGTCCCTGGGGGCCTCACCAGTGACAGAGTTGAAGGCGGCAGCTCTTCACCAACCTGCCTGGCTGACCAACAGCCCTTCTGCTCCCCCTGGGACTGCCGTGTCCTCCACACCACCCACCCTCCTCTCCAAGGCACTGAGAGCCCTGCTCTCCATCCAGCAGAATAACAGCATCAACCTTCCTGCCGTGCCTTGATGGACATCGGCGTTACAGCCCCTACTCCCCGAGGCATTTCAGATCTGCTGCTTAGGAGGAGAGACAGCAAAACCCAGCAGGAGACTGGCATTTTCCTCTCCTGCACTGGCAGAACTGCAGCAAAATAACTTTTGCTTCTGCATTTCCCATGACCTATGGGAAGATGGATTCAGTGACCTCTATCCTATCGCTATCGGTCATGACCACAATCTATAGTGAAATGAGACCCCACTGGGAATTAAAATGCTAAACCACCTGCACAAAGGATAACAAGGCTGTGCAAGACCCATGCCAGGATCTTCCTCAGTGACTGAGTGACAGTCAGGAGAACGAGCAGGCCCCCTCGTGTGCCAGCACTGGAAGGGATGATGCCCTCCTCATCCCTGGGAGAGTGCTGCGGGTGGCAATACGTCAGCCCTATTAGTCACACGATGGTACATTTTGGTAGTGCAGGACTTGTACTTGCAAAGGCAAGAAAATGCACAAAGATGCTTCTGGAAAAAAAAAAAAAAAGAATGCAGTTAATTCTTTTCACCTTTCTGAATCTGCTGGGCCTGAAAGCATTAG